AGTGCTGGGATTAAAGGCGTGCGCCACCAACGCCCGGCTGAGTTCTTTTTTTTTTTTTTTTTTTTCCTGTTCCTTAATGTCAGACACCTTGAAGGAGAATGGTGGACTCACTGGAGGCTAGTTGCAGAGCTGAGAGGAATCTTAATGTTCTTATCTGTAAAATGGAGATCACTAGAGAGCTAGAAGAAGCCCGGAGGTTCAGGCTTATTGTTAACAGTGGGTAGACGCTGGCGTGTTCATCGTCAAAAAACGACCGACGTGGAGGAAGCTGGCTTAGGATGCTCAGGGTTCACTTTGACGTCTGGAGCTGAGAGCAGTTTCTCCGAGTCGCTGAACCTATATGGCTTCATCGAGTCTTTTCATGGGAACGACTTTGTTGGCTGCGTGGCTAGGAAAGCCATCGGTTAGCAAAGTACGTGGATCACATCCTCGCGGGTAATCTCTGCTGATTCCATTGTCCAGGAGGATGTGGGAAATGGGAACTTAAGTGGGCAGAGTGGTATCTCAAGAGCGACTGTGAAGAGCTATTGGCGAGTTAAAAGTAGACGAAGAAAATACAAAGACTCATAGGCATTGGGAATACTAATTATTACCCTTCCCTCCTCAGGTTGACTGACAGATCCCTGCAAAGACAGAGAAAGTATATTTCACTTTTAATTTGCTCTAACATTGTAGCTCATTGTTTAAGGAAATTTCCTCATTTCTTAGCGACTGAAGGTATTTTTGCTATTGTGTCAAGTTAGAAATTTGCAATACAGTGGAGCCCTGTCCATTTGGTTGTATTTAATGTCAAAATTAGATTTATTGCCTCCAAAAACGCCCGTTTCTGCAGAAAAGATGGCTGTGGATCCCCACGGACAGTCTTAGCCAAGGGTTTGCTCTTGAGCATGATGTCTTGGGCAGTGTTCAGAACCCTCTCCTGTCTCCAGATCCAAACGGTGGGTCAAGAGTGACGGGAGAACCAGGATGCATAGTAGTGACACTCACACATGCATGGCCACTGGGATGGGGATTCCATGCTAACCCAGACAATGGCTGCCAGCATATCTATATCTTCTCATCAGTCCCAAGCCATGGACTGTACCATGAATCTTAGAAGGCCTTATTAATAGAAAAAACCCGGAGTCGGGTGTTGGGGTAAATTCTGAAAGATCAGAGAGACAGAACAAGCCACAGCCAACCTCCCCTCCCCAATGGACTATATATAATAAAATGAAGTATTTGACAACCAGAAGGACCCCCACTGAATATTCTATAGACTAATAGGTTTACTCTGTGTGTTCTGTTCGGTTAGTGCTCCTATATCCCGCCCTGTAAGAGAGAAAACCAGAAGAACTTGGAAAGTGTCATGAACTGGCAACAGTACTGGAAAGATGAGATCGGTTCCCAGCCATTTACTTGTTATTTTAATCAACATCAAAGGTAAGTCAATACTTGTACGTGCATATCCATCTTGGTTGCTTGGGTGGATGTATTACGTGGGTAAATCGCAGTTTGGGCCCGCTTGGGAAAAGTGCGACTTGGAGATAACCTCAAGTTCTTTGGTGCCTGTGATCTCCGTTCTTTCTAGCGTGAGGGAGCCGCCTCTTGCTCCGCTGGATGGGAGGTATATAAAGATCATACAGGACAAAATGAGAGGGCTGGGGAAGGAAGGCGGGGAGGGATGGAGGAGGGACGGAGGAAGGGAGGGCGGGGTGGATGGATGGATGGAAGGAGAGAGGGAGGGGAGCCTGTACCCCAGATGTACCCTGTGGATACACTACACATGGCAGTGACCGTTGCTAAGGAACACTGTGCACTGTCAGTGTGCTGTGAGACTTACAGGCTATTGCGCGCAAGCTAAGCGTTATGTGGCGTTCAAACTACATCAGTTCTTAACTCTTCGTTGTCCTTCCGATTCTGATGAAGTATCAAAATGTGTCCACACCGTCCAAACTCTGCCTGCCTCAGGAGCCCTCGATGTACCATACTGATATGTCAAGATGACCGCTTGGGTCAGGACGCTTGCCTGGCCACGTACGAAGCTAATTTTCGACATGTATTGTTGGATGGCGCACGGTTCCTTCAATCCTGCCCTTCCTCTCGTAATCTCTCTCTTGGTGAACGGCACTGCCCATTCATCTGTTCACCTAGCCCAGAACCATCCAAGTGGCCGTTAATTAGTTCCGTCCTTTACTCCCCTTGCCCTGTATTCGGCGTCCTGTGGATATCCCTGTGTGGTGACGCTTAGATCAGATACGGATTTTTGTTTTCTCAGCTCTATCGCTGTGGTCATCTATTATGACCTGTCACCTCTACACTGGGCCACGCCAAGCCATTATCCATGCTGCTGCCAGGCCAGGTCTCTAAGCCCAGGAGTCTAGTCAGGTCACAGATAGTTCTCAGAATAAAGTCTTGCCTGTCTTGGCATAGTCTCTGTGTCAGGTCCCTGTCACTGCATAGCAACATGGCTCACCGTGGCAGTGGTATCTTGTGCTTCTGTGGGTTGGCAGGGCTCACTTGCTGCTAGGGGCAGGCTAAGATGAATATTGGTTATTGATAAAGGCCATCAGTCTTCCCTTACCTCAGTGTTCAGAAAGCTACAATGCCTTCCTTAAAGCGTGGCGGTATGGCAGCCACATTCAAGGCAGGAAAGCCTCAGCTCTAGAATTAGAAGAAGATATCACTTCTGACGTGTTCTATTGGTCAAAACAGAGCCAGCAGGTTCATGGTGTATTGACAGAGCTCGCCCCTGCCACCACCGCCCAGTAAGCGCTGGAAGATTTGTGGTCGTGTTTACGGATAGGGTGTAGTTTCCCCAGTTCCACATGTTGCAGACACGAGTGTCCATCTGCAGAGTGTGTCTTTCTGGGAATTAGTAAACTTCACATGATCAGTTCCTTTTTCTAGACCTAAACAAATCGTGTCATAGCATATGACTTGAATGACAGTAGGACAGTGTCACCCAGGTGACATGAGGAAAAAGATGTTGTCTGAGCACAGTCAAGAAGGAAGGTGCTACAGAAAAAAACAGAAATGCAGCCAGGCGGTGGTGGCGCATGCCTTTAATCCCAGCACTCGGGAGGCAGAGGCAGGTGGATCTCTGTGAGTTCGAGGCCAGCCTGGTCTACAAAGCGAGTTCCAGGAAAGGTGTAAAGCTACACAGAGAAACCCTATCTCAAAAAACCAAAAGCAACAACAACAACAACAAAAACACAACAACAACAACAAATGGAAATGCCACCTGCCAGGTTTGTCTTACATGTCCCATAGATAACCATGTACAACTTTGTCCCAGAGATCTGGAACCCTGGCTTCAAAGGAGCTTTTTAAAGTGCATCATGGGGCAGGAGAGATGGCTCAGTGGTTAGGAACACTGGCTGCTTTTCCGAAGGACAGGGGTTTGATTCCCAGCACCCACGTGACGGTTTACAATCATCCATAATTCTAGTTCCATGGCATCTGACACCCTCTTCTGGCCTCTGGGGTACCAGGCACACAAACTGATGCACAGGCACATGCAAGCAAAACACTCATACACGTCAAGTAAAAAATTGAAAATAATAATAATAAAAAAATGCATCATTGACTAATTACATGAGAATCTCCGACAGTCAGCCCAGGCATCAGCATCTTGACAGTCATCAGCCTTTAGGAAGTCTGACATAACCGAGGACTAAAATCACTTCTGGCTCATGTACCTGTCACTCTCTATTGAAATTCTCCTGTTACACTTTGTGTGCCTGTCTTGTTAAAGAGCATGCCCAGTCCTCTTCGTCTTTGTTCCTCTGGTGCCTAGCCCAGTGGCCGTGTCTCAGTGGATATTTGGTGAATGGACGAAGTAATGCAGTGTATTGACTTAATAAGGAGATTTAAGGAATGGGCATTCATTGATGAATATAGACGCTGAGCCGATACAAGTATGACGTCATCAGCTAGGAATGAAAAGGGAACGGCCTTGAAATGGGGGCGCTGTACTGCAGCAACCAAGGCTTGAAAACAAGGTATTTTAGGTGTGTAGGTAATACACTGAGTGTTGGTTGTAACCTGAGCAGGTAGCTGGGGCTAGAATACTAAAAGGCCATTAGCATCATACTAAAGACACTGTTTTTGTAATACAAGCAATAAATAGTCAGGCGAAGCTTTGTAAATTTTGCTTTTAACCAAAGATTGACGTAAGTAGAGTTTCTTATCTGGGGAGTTAACTGAGTTTCCCAATGTCGAGTGAGTGTGTGAGTGTAGAATGCATGTTGGGTATGGAAGATGAATTAAAGGCAGGCGGGAAGGAGAACGCTGGAGTGAAGACATGATCTTTGTAGTTTTGAATGACTGTTAGGTGCCACGTGAGTGATATTTTATTGAGATCACCTAATTTCTTATGAATACTAGTCCCATTTGGCTCCCAGGGAGGAAACAGACTCTTAAGGAATTATGTGATTAATAGCCAGGGCATATAGACAGCCCATAAGTAAAAAGAAATCCAGTTAGCCTGATTCCAAGCACTTTTTCTCTTAGCCATCTGCTGGATCTGATAGAGGTCTTTGAGAGCCTAAATGATGGTGGTGGTGGTGGTGACGGCAGCAGCGGCATCGTTGGTGGTGATAACAGGGATATTGTATCCAAAAGGCATTTTAGAGTGGGGACCAGCACACCTTCATGGCTGTGTACGTGATGAGGGAAAGAAATTTGACTGCATGAGAGACAAGTGTAGTTCAGCTGTGGCTGTGCCGAACTAGAGGTATTCACTCTCACGATGTCCGGAGGGTGCTTCAAAAAAGTTAGAAGCTCGAACTAACAGTCTAGGAACAGGAGATGGGGAGCAGTGTTAGATCAGAAACTCCTGGGCACATAAGCTGTAGTTGAGGTGAAGAGAAAGAATGTGTGCCGGGAACACTATGAGAAGAGAAATGTTGATCGACTACATTTCAATCATAGGCAAGGAGGTGGAGGCAGAGTGGCCAGAGGCTGAGAGGAGATTCCAAAGAACAGCACTTTGAAAGAGGACACTGTCCTGAAAGGCCTCTTGGAAGAGAAGGAGGCCATTGGGATCTGTTCTCAGGAGGATTTGGCAACAGTAGGTCCCACCTCAGAAGACAGAGATGGGAATCATTTTATATTTAAGCCAAATTGACACTGTGAGGGCAATTAGTGAGTGCACCAAACTGTGACGCTCTCTGTGTCGGAGAAAAGTCAGGCTGAAGCGGCAGCCTACAGTAAAGAGAAAATATTTGCTAATCACATATCCGGTAAAGGGGTCATCTGCAAAGTATAGAAAGAGATCCTGCAACCTGAGAGCTATAACAACAGGAGTAGGCTTTTAACATGGGCTGAGGACCTGAAACGTTTCCCCAGTAGTCACAGAAAGGCGGACAGGTGTGTAAACCACTATTGACATTGTTTATCATCCGAGAAATGCAATTCAAAACCACAGTGAGGTATCACTTTACCCTTCCAAGACAGCTCTTATTCTTTAAACGATGAAACTGAGAAAGACAGCTGTTGGTGGGGGGGGGGGGAGGAGGCTCAGCTGTATCCGTAGGCACATTAACAGTGCTACAGCCACGGTGGGAGGCAGTGTGGCAATCCTGCCATAACACCCAAAGTGCCAAACCACCAAGTAATTCCGAGGCTGGATATTAATTTCAGAAATAATACTTGAAATTGGGATATCAAAAGGCCCATCGTATTTCTGTATTTGTTGCTATAACATTCACAATAGCCAAGATCAAAAAACACTCTGAATGTCCGTGGACAGATGAGTGGATGAAGAAGACGTGGTGTGTGGCAGGTGCATGCCTGGAGTCTCAGCTCCTTGGAAGCCTAAAGCAGGAGGATGGTTGGAGCCCGAGAATCTAAGACCAGCCTGCGCAATACAGTAAGACTGTGCAGCCCATGCCCTCTTAAGAGGACAAGAAATACAGAACAAAACACAAAAGAAAAATGCGGTTTACACGTGCAATGGGCTACCTTCAAAAAGGGGTGGGATGCTGAGATGGCGTTATCAGTTAAATGTCTGTGCTACCCAGCCTGATGACTTGAGTTCAGTATCTGGAACCGTCATGGTAGAAGAAGGAGGGAACTGACTCCGGGCAAACTGCCCTGTGACCTCCACTGGCGTGCCACGGTGAGCATACCCACACACATGCGTGTGTGCGCACACACAATAGATACATAACCGCTAAAATTTTAAAAGGAGGAAATTCTGTCGTGGGGCAGCCTGGATGAACTTTGGGGATATTGCGCTCATCGAAATACGTTGGTCACAGAAAAGCAAATCCTCTGTGGTGGTAGGCGTCTGAAACAGTCAGATTCACAGATGACAGAGTGAAATGGTGGTAGTCGCTAGTGGCTGGGGAGAGAGAAATATGGGGGCTTACTAATCTACAGGTGTGACGTTTCCCTCAGGTGGGATGAAACCTCTAGAGAGCTATGTACGACGTTGT